GAATGTGCGTGGATTACAGGATGCTGAATCAGAGAACCATCAAGGACTCCTACGCATTACCGAGGATTGAGGACATTTTAGACATACTTTCTGGATCAAAATATTTTACAGTTTTAGATATGAAATCGGGATATCACCAAATCGAAATTGAGGAATCACACAAACATAGGACAGCTTTTACAGTAGGACCCATTGGATTTTATGAATTTAACCGTTTACCTTTTGGCCTTTCAAACAGTCCCGCGACTTATCAACGTCTCATGGAGGAATGTCTTGGTGATTTAAACATGAAGATTTGCGTTATTTATTTGGACGATTTGATCATTTTTTCAAATTCTTATGAGGAACATCTAGAACGTCTCCAGATTATTTTCAACAGGCTAAGGGAATGCAACCTGAAACTCAATCCTAAGAAATGCAAATTCTTCCAAGAACAAGTGAAATATGTAGGATTCATAGTATCAGCTAGTGGAATTTCAACAGATCCTGAAAAAGTCAAGAAGGTTTTAGAGTGGCCAGTGCCTACACATCCAGATGAAGTGCGTCAGTTTGTTGGATTTGCAGGATTTTATAGACGTTTCATCAAAGACTTCAGTAAAATCGTCAAGCCGCTACAAGAAGTAATGCCACCACAGAACCAAAGGAAAAAGAGGACCAAAGTAGAAGTAAAGGGTTGGAGATGGAAGCCAGAACATGACATAGCATTCAATAAGCTGAAATATCATATGACGCATGCCCCAATACTAGCATATGCAGATTACAAAAAAGAATTTGAACTCCATATAGATGCCAGCACAGAAGGTTTAGGAGCAGTTTTATGCCAGGAACAAGGAGGAAAGTTACGAGTTATAAGTTATGCCAGCAGAACGTTAGGAAAATCAGAAGAAAATTACCCGGCAATGAAGTTAGAATTCTTATGTCTAAAATGGGCCGTCACCGAGAAATTCTACGATTATTTATACGGACACAAATTTGTGGTAAAAACTGACAACAACCCCTTAACTTACATACTGACAACAGCCAAGCTAGATGCGACAGGGCAGAGATGGGTTTCAGCTTTATCGGCATTCGATTTTGATATAACATACAAGCCAGGTAAGATCAACACCGATGCAGATGCTTTGTCCAGGTACCCACTGGCCAATAGGAACATCACCTCAGAAGCGGTACAGGCAGTATGCAGGAACACTCAGGTAAGTACGCATATTGTCAACATGGCAGAATCAGTGGAACCATTGGACATCATAGAAATAACATATTTTCCAGGACAACCATTAGCTCAAATGGAAATTAGAGAACTTAGGAAATTACAACATGAAGATACTTTGTTAAGATTTTGGATAGAAGCAGTGAGAAACAAACGCTTACCACCTAGGCATGCCATACCCAGAACAAAGGACCACAGTACAATGATGAAAAATTTTGACAACTTTAGACTAATCAGAGGAGTACTATACAGGACTGTAAAGCTTCAAGAAAACAACGTAAACCAACTAGTACTGCCTAGAAAACTTATTCAATCAGCACTTATAGGACTTCACAACAACATGGGTCATCCCGCAAAAGATAGGACAACAACTCTATTGAGAGACAGATTTTATTGGGTAGGGATGAGTTTTGATACAGAAAACTGGATAAAGAACTGTGACAGATGTCTAAGGAGAAAGTCAACATGTCAGAAAGCTCCGTTGGTCAGCATAACATCATCTTATCCATTAGAATTAGTTTGCTTAGACTACTTGACATTGGAACCATGCAAAGGAGGAATTTGTAACATCCTAGTCATTACTGATCACTATACCAGATACGCCATGGCCATTCCAACAAGAAACCAAACTGCAAAAACAACAGCAGAAGCATTCTACAACAATTTTATAGTCCACTACGGAATTCCAGCTAGATTACATAGTGATCAAGGAGCTCAATTTGAAAGTCATCTGATCAAAGAATTATGTGAAATTACAAAGATAGAAAAATCGAGAACCACTCCATACCACCCGATGTCAAATGGAATGACCGAAAGATTTAACAGGACACTCCTTAGTATGCTAGGAACATTGGAAAATAGAGAAAAGCAAGATTGGAAAAAGTATATACCATCTTTAGTGCATGCGTACAACTGTACAAAACATGAAAGTACTGGGTATTCCCCATTTGAATTAATGTTCGGGAGGAAGCCAAAACTACCTGTAGACTTAGCATTCAGATTAGAGGATACCAGTGAAGAGAAACCAAATTATAATGAGTATATTACAGATTTGAAGAACAAAATGGAGAAGACCTTTAAGATAGTGAGGAAAGCAGCAGAAAAGTCAAGAATAAAGCAGAAAAGTCATTTTGACAAGAAAGCAAAGGCAAAGAAGCTAAGTATTGGAGATCAAGTTTTATTACGGATTTTAGCTTATGAAGGAAAGCATAAAATAGATAAGTTTGAGGAGAAAATTTATTTTGTTAAATCACAACCTAACCCGGATATTCCAGTTTTTCTAATTTCAGATGAAGATGGAATAGAGAAAATAGTTCACAGGAATTTAATAATTCCGACAGGTACAAGAAGAGAAGAATTTACAGATGTCAGGCCTGACACAAGTATAAGAAAGAAAACAGAGAAGAAGAGTTCACAGATTAAGAAGGTGGACAATTCAAAGAGAGAGGAGAGAAAATACCAAAGTAGTGACAGTGAGACTGAAGATGAGGTTTATATGGTTGAAGTCAGACGTGATGTGGCACCACAGCCAGATTCAGTGCAGACTCAGCAACCACAGGAAACTCAAGAAGAGGAACCAGAGGAAGCTCAAGAAGAAGAGGAACCAGTGGAAGCTCAAGAAGAAGGAGAAGCAGAGGAAACTCCACATGAGCAACATGAGGAACCAAACCTACAACCTGAAGTTGTGGCCCAGGGAGGTAATGAGGAAACTGGTTTACGTAGGTCAGCTAGGGTTAGGAAGAAACCAAAATGGCAAGAGTCGTATGTCATGAGTCAGAGAGAGGTTACTGATGCAGGTAAGGAAAAATCACAATTAATTACCAACTTAATCTGCTCGGATGTTTTGAAAGCTACTTCTTCGGCCTTGATACAGAAAGTAGTTGATTCCATTGTAAAATGATGGGACATCATTTCATAGCCAGGGGGAGGATGTAGCATAGCAGAATTTTGTATATATAACTTTAAAATTGTGTTTTTATTTTTATGCACTTCTAATTATGAAATATAGCTAGATAAATAAAAGTTTTACATATATATAAAATTACAAAGTTATTAAAAGTGTCTGTGTTGATTTATTTTACATTTTGTTGAATTAATTATTTTCCCGCCAAAATTCTGTGGAGCGATTGGTTTGGACATGTCACATGACTAGTGACCTTAGACAGGTTTTGAATTCTTTGGGGTGTTGGTCACTCTTGTCCAGTGCTGTGGTTCCAGCAGGTTGTGTCTATATTTAGTGGACTTAGGATTTTCAGTCATGGTATGTTTGACTTTTTGTTTGGTTTTTATCTTTGAAGTTTGAGAATTGTTTCAGGATGAGATTTCTGCATTTTCCAGTAGTTAAAACTTGCATGTTTAATTCTTTTAGAACAGCACAGCACTTAGATAAATTCCCTAGATAATTTGAGAGCCTAAATTCCATAATTTTGGTAAGTCGTTTGTTAAATATTATTTGTAAATGTAAGTGTAAATAATTGTTTTATTTTATCACTAAACTTTCATAGTTAAATAGGTTCAGTGGAGATCACTTTATAAATTAAATTTATAAGTGTTTAAACTATAACTATATTGAGTAAATGCGTTCAGATGCATATTTTCAGTGAGAGACTATTTTATGATTGGTGTTTTGTATTATAATATGAACACTTGATTGTTGTATACATTGCTGAGGTTTTGTACATTATTTTGCAGGGCCATTATAATTGTCTTGATTTCCATATGTGAAAAGAATTGGAATGAAATAATATATATAGCCTGCTGAACTTTGAAACCTGTGTTGTTTTATTTCACGTACTATACAACCAAGGTTTACACACGTACCCCCTCTGAAAACGAAGACCCCCACCCACCCACCCCCTAACCCATTAACGCGAATTTGTGTTAAACTGGTATGAAAAGTCAAAGGTTTGAACTAATAGAAGTCAACGACTACCCCCTTTCAAGAAATTTCTGGGTTTGATTATTTTTTTGGACTGGGGTAGAACCCCCCCCCCCCTGGAAAAAATTTCTGATTCCGCGCCTGAACAACTTGCACAACCCCCCAATTTATGCGCTGATAAATTGTATATTTCTACACTGCGTATAAAATCGAACCAATTAAACGAATTTATATTTGTCATTCAATTTTCACATTAGGTCACTCATATGATGGATTTACTTTATTTTGCTTATTTTCTGAGATCATGATTTTATTTCGAATTCTATGCAAAAAATTGAAAATGAGGCCGGAATCTCTTCCTCGGCGAAATTCATAACTATTAAGTTTCCCACCGGTATACGTTGAGAAATGTGTAGGCACATTAAGAAGTTAGCTTTAACATGTTCATGTGTCCATTAAACACCCTTTCTGAAGCTAGATGTATTCATGGTATTCGATGGCGAGGATATTAGAATTGCAGCTAATTTAATTTAAGGTTCTATATATTGATAAAAATAGCCTTCGATTTTCTTTGTAATAAATGAATTGGATCACAAAATTCAATGAAAATTGAGAAATGTGCAAATGTTTTTAACGGATTTAAATGAAAGGTATCGCTTTATATACATGTACAGCGCAAGTTTTGCGGTTTATTCTAACCCCCCCCCCCTTCCCCTTAACGGCATCGCTGCTGATATATCGATTAGATGCACTAATTCCATTGTGTTCGAAAAAGAATACAGCATTGAAAGTACCAACGTTATGAATATTTGAAAATTCAAAGTGACTGAACAGTTTTTAAGGCTTTATTACGGCTTTTTGTGACATATGCGGCCCCCGATTTTTTGAAATTATAAGATCCGTGCCACATGACAAAGCATTTTGAAATTCCAGCGGAAGTGAGTTGAAATCCGCATTTTTAATCACCGCTTGGAACAAAGGGCTGTTGTATAGTTATAAACTGTCATAAAAATTTCATAAACGACTCGCAACGGTGCAGAAATTATGTGGATTTGCCCTGGGATTTAATCGTAAGGAAGTTGGTGTTGCATTATGGGAAATTTGACGTCACAACGCTGTACGAGAAAGATGGGGAGTAGGCAGTAAAGCGGGCCAAAATTGTTTATTTTTGTTGCTTTCCCCCGAAATATTTACTTATGGAATATATATAAATATCATAGACCACATCGAGATGGCTAAATATCGATGTAGTTACTGCCAGAGTGATATTTCGGGGTACAGAGCGCAGTGTTCTGAATGTGTCGACATTGACCTTTGTTTACAGGTAGGCTGACGTCACAGCTTTATATAAAATTCGCGGACTTTTTCAAAATGTATTGAAAGCAGTGCTAGATGTTTTCAGTATTAATGCTATTTGTCTTGATTTTTTAGTGTTTTTCATGTGGTGCTGAACTGGGTTCTCACAAACGTGATCACAGCTACAAAATCCTGGTAAGTGAAAGTGCTGTCATTAAAAGATTTCACTTTATCATGTTTATCAACTTAATGCATAGGAGATTGCTCTCAAATTCCCATAAAGATTTATTGAAAAAATTAGGGTTGATTCTCTCATTCAGTTAACCTGTCTTTGTCAAATTAATTACCGGTTAATTGTTATAGAGGTGATTTTTATATGGGTTTTTTTTTTTTGGTTTTTTTTTTTTTTATAACTAAACACTGCCTCTTACAGGATGACAGTCCTGTTGGTGCATTTGACATTGCAAGAGCATGGAGTCTGGCAGAGGAAACCATGCTCTTAGACGCAGTGGAGCAGTACGGATTTGGAAACTGGTATCAGAGAGATTACAAAATTTACATCTTTTTCAAAATAAGATTATAATTAACATCATTCATTCCATATAACTAGGGCCAAAATAAAATTATAGTTTGTTTGGAATTGCCTCCCGCCTCATTGAAATAACCCCCTCCTGAAAAAATTTTATTGACCAAAAGTAGGAAGATTTTTTTTATTTAATCAATTTTTTGCCTATTACATGTATGACATACAAAACACTGAAATATAGTGTCAGATCTATGTAAAATTAGGTTTTCAATTAAAAAAAAAAAAATTTCCCTCCCTCCTGTGTCTGAAACCCTTCAGGCGGCAATTCCAAACAAACAATTTTTTAAGGATGGCCTAGTCAAACTTATATTTCATTAAAACCATAAAAGAAAACAAAAATATCATAAAATAAAAATAACACATACGATATATAGATAGTTTTTCCGATGACATATTTTGCCAGGGAGTTATTCCCCTTTGCCACCATCTTGTAGGGCAAAGCAGTGAATTTTACTCTTTGAGCAACCAATTTTAAACATGAATGCCAGAAATATATGGATGGTAAATATTTATTATCTTAAAATAATGAATTGATAGAGACTTAATCAATCATATATGCATAAGAAAAATAGTGTTATCTTTACCTCAGTAACCAGCATAACAAATTGAACTTTTATGAATAAAGAAGGAATCTTGGAATGTTGCCCTTCAATATGATGGTCTGGTCTTGGGGGATAACTCTTGCTTAAATCGCCTCAATGGAAAACCATCTGTAGCAAAAAATAAACATGATAAAGGTACTCATAATTTAATGCTCTGAGAAATGAGGCATGGAATTTTTTTAAAAACTTTTTAAATACTTTCACATTTCTGTTGTAGGGATGATGTGGCAAGTCATGTAGAATCTCGATCAGCGGAAGGTATGTTATAGATACTATGTTAAATCAAATGAAACGGAATGTGTATGTTTTGTCATGTGATGATTGATTAATGAAAGGAAGACTGACTTTGCTATTGGCTTTTCTTTCAGAATGTCAAGACCATTATGTTACTTTCTACGTCAATGGAAGTATTGGAAAAGGTATAATTGTTCAGAGTTTTGTATAGTTATGGTATACGTATACATAATTTGTGTATTTAGCTTTATGTTCTTGTAATGTGAATATGA